AAAGTAAAGTGACGTTTAATAAACTTTCTTAATTGATTGTCATTCAAGGATTAATTAATCTTTTCCCCGAATGAAATAGTCAAATTAATACAATTATTTTTCCGTGTGACATCACCTGAGTATTTCTTTAAATATGGCACGTATGACACATTTTCAGAGGCTCATCAGAAACACATTCATAGTGTGAAAAGTGATAAAATAATAATGAAACAAGTGGGGGGAGCTAAGAGAAAGAGAAATCAGAAAGTTACAGCTCACTGTCCGACTGCTCCATAATCACTTGTGACAGAGTGTACTGGCCCTTTAAGCCCCGAACCTCCGACCACCGCTGGGTGTGGTTGGGGTGGATGCTGTCGGCACAAGCGGGATTACGAAACACCTACTGTCAGCACACGTTAATTGTTTCATCTTGTTTTCCTCCACGTCTGTATCTACGTTTGCCGCCGCGCTCCTCTCCAAACCCTCAACACACCATCATCGAAATGCATCTTGGGAGCGTTCAGACTCGGAGCCGCTCAGAGGTCTGATCCCCCCCCCCCCCCCCCCCCCGAGCTATCAGATCAAAGACAGAGTCCACTTTCCTGGGCTGATTTTCTCTGTCTGATAGCAGCAGGCCAGAGGAATGTGGGTCAAGGTTTTGGTCCGATGATATTGCTTCTTGTCTTTAATTCTGGACCAAAAAAAAGAAAAGAAAAAAGCTTGGCATGAAAACGCAGACCTTCCCTCAAAGTCCCATGAGCCTGGTCACGAATCAGATACTGACGATAAACTCTGAGGAGCAAACCTCACTTAAAGTCGCAGAGTGTGAGATGTGAGATGTGCACAGACTCACAGTTTTGCAGTTTCAAGCTTCAACAAACCCAAAAACAAACTTTAACAAACAAAAGTTTTATCTCACTTTGCTTGAACTTAAAAGTTTTGTTACGTGTCGGATCTGATAAATCCGTCTGTTGCGAAGCTTTTTCATGCTGAACATATATTTATATATTTACATGCGTGAAGGTGAGAGATCATCAGAAACACTCACGTCTGTGGTTTAATCAACTAAAAGTGTCCTAAAAAAAGCTGTTTAGAGAAAGATTGATTTGACAGTTTGACGGCCATTTTGAATTGGAGCCCTCATCGTCGCCTTAATGCTCATGGATTAAACATTTTTGCAGCGACGCCACATGCCGCCCTTGAAGTCTCCGGCTCTCGCTGTGTCCTAGTTCCATATTGAATGCTAATTGTGTATAGTTTATGTACCGTGCGCTGATGCAGCACGCTGTCGGAGCAGCTGCTGCACTACAAAACCAGCGTGACAGTTGCTCGTGGAGGTGAAGGAGGGGAGAGAATCTGCAGGAACCTCATGGCTTCACGGAGCTTCAACAGTGGAGCGTACGGCGGCTGCAGGAGTTGGTGGAGACCAAAAACGGAGCTAAACATTGGAATCGCGTTCACCGGGTGGCCTTTAACGTGACATCAGATGAATAGTCACGTGTCTTTGCAACCACAAAAGCTATGTGGATAATGTAAAGATAAAACATTAGACGCAAATTAAAACAGACACATAAATGATGTGTATTAATTAAAAACCATTAAGAAAAATTAAAAAAAATTAAGACCAACAACTTATGAGTAAAAAAGATGTAAATCAAAACTGTTAAAGTTGGATTGAAATGTGAGTAAATAAAATAATAATTAGTCCAATAAAAAGTAAGTAATATAAAACTGATAAAAGTAATAAAAAGAAAATAAAAAAGGTAAATTAAGACCAACAAACCAGACTACTGGAAAGTTTTCAATTAAAAAACAACAATAAAATAAAGCCTTTTCTTTATGATGCATATTTACTGTTTGAGGATATTATTTAGTCACTTTTGTAACACACTTGTTCTCAGTTACACCTTTATCTTCGTTAGACTTAATTTAATCTAATTAACAGATCAACAGATTGACACCAGCCCTCAATCCCTCTATTGTTTCTATTTTGTTCTCTTGTTGTTCTGTTTTGAAAAACCACCTGTGGCTTCATCACATTAGGCTTCACTAACTGTGTGTCCCCTCTCCCCCGGTGCTCCCTGTGTCTGCAGTACTTTGTCCTGCTGCTGTGCATCTTCCTGTTGGAGATCCTGGCTGGCGTCCTGGCGTATATCTACTACCAGCAGGTAACCCCCCCTTTTTAAATCAATTTATGTTTATTATTAAAAAGAAATAAACTATTGTCGGTCGATCTCATCATCATCTGAAGTTAAAACCTGACGTGTGTGTGTGTGTGTTCAGCAGCTGTGATGAATAAGTTTAATGCCTCCTGATCTCAGCACACAGTCAAAAGTGTTTTGATCAAACACAGGCGACCGTCTCTTTTCCCAGGTGCTGTAATTTTATCCACGACAAAACCAGCATGATGAATGAGATCTGAGGCAGGAAACACAAGACAGCCCATTAAAAATACAAATATCAGACTGACCGTGTTACTCGTGGTGCGTTTAGTCCAAATGGAGTGAAAAATGCCTCCAGTGGTGCACATAACGAGGCTGACTGCACCGTGTCGGAAGGATTCAAGAAACATTTTATGATTTTGAACTGAGGCGCAGAGACACGAAGGCTCTGTCGCGACACAGGTTAAATGACTTAAGAGAGTAGAAACTCTGTTTAACGAAAAAACAAAATGTGAACTAAACGCGCTTGTGATTATTTTCTCAGTGGTTGATGCAGAAGCTAAAGTGGAACTGACATCTCAGCTCGAGCAGTGGAGAGTTACACCACAAGCTGTGTTTTGTTTTTTGGCCTCATGTAATATTAACATGACACGGCGCTCCACCGGCGCCGGTCCCGCCCTGACTAGTCTTAAAGCCTGGTGGCTCGTAGCTCAGCAACAGGACTTCTCTCTCCGTCTGGAGGTGCACTGCTATCATTATAACTGCCTCATTCATAATACACAGCTCATCTGAACACGAGCCGCCGCGGAGCTGCTCGGCTCTCTCCTCGCCTCGCTTCAAAGGATTCTTGCTAAAAAATCTCTGAAGCCGTTCGGCGTCTTCCCCCTCCCTTGTTGTTATTCCTCATTTCTCTGTCTGGTAATTAATCATGAGAGCTGTGGGTTTGTTTTTTCTTTTCTTATTTCAAGATGCCAAACACCTCGTGAAACCTCATTCATGTGTAACGAGCTGCAGATTCTCCACAACGTCAGTGTCAGACCGGTCGACCTTCACTGAGCCGCTCCACCCGCTGCGAAGGAAACTAACGTGAACACGTCAGTGTCGCCTCCTTCAGGCGGACAAAGAGATCATTACTTTCTTTCTGCATTTTATCCATGTCCATCCATCCAAGATTTTCCTTTTAATAATCTCTGGCTGTTAGTTAATATATAAAAGTTGAGAGTTTGCATCATAGTGGCGTCTAGTAGAGATTCAATCTAAAAATACATCGATCAAAACTCCCCATACGCAGCCAATACAGACGTCACCGTGACTTTTACTGAGAGCGAACAACGTGTTCAGACTGCGGCTTCCTCAGGTTCACTCAGCAGGTGTGATAAATAGGTCACATGACTCAATCATCATCGTCTTCATTGTGTCATTATTCTGTGTTTAAACACTGTTTCAAGAGATAAACATGACGTATATATATGTATGTATATTAATATACTACAGTTACATAGTTTTACACAGTATTAACACGAATAAGGACTGCATGGAAAAAAAGGTCAAATTATTTGCACAGGTAGACTAAAGGTCCTGCAGCTGTTCCTCCACATCTGGGTGAATGTCAGGGGACTTTAACAGCTCGTCTCAAGTGAGAAAAAGAAACTCATTAAATCCATGAGGTTCAGTTGTGTTCAATCCAAAATACTTCCCTTCTTAAAAGCTGATTAATCAGATTACCTTCTCTTGGGTTCGGACGTACTTTTTCAATGTCGATAAATTTTAGTTGTGAGATCGCGCTCAGTTTGGTCTACGTACGTTAAACCACATGAGCGTTTCAAGGCGGAGACGACACATGTGCAAAGTTATGATGATAGAAATTGACTCAGCTTGTTCTTCACGATGACTCCTGACTGGATTTAAAGAGATTAAATCTATATTTACGGATTTGGGCTTCAGTCGAACGGACAAGGATTTCCATCAGTTCTGCGTTGGAATTGTGGGACGGTATTTCTCCTTTCCTTTCCTAAAGGAAGCTCAGGTGTTTCCTACGCCAAAGGAGAGAAGATGGGAAGCACTGAGCAGAGACCTGGAGCTGCTGCTCATAGAGTTTTCGACCTGCAGTCGTTGTCTTCATGTGGCACCGATGTCGAAACAGCAGATGCGACGACCTTCCTTACCTGTAGATGGTGCGCACCTGCTCGTCGTCACTTCCTGTTTGCTGCTGCGGCTGTTATTTGGACGTGTTTAATGCAGCTGCTGTTTCTACTTATTGAATTGCCGTTTTTCACTTCTCTGCCCCGAACTGTCAACAGGTGAAAAGCTTGACTCTCCCATCGCTCCTGTTTCCTCCTCCTCCTCTTCCTCCTCCTCCTCTTCCTCTCTTTGTCTTCACCTCACGTCTCATCTCTCTCCGTCCTCCCCTCCCTCTCTTCATCATTCATTCCCTTGATATCTCCTTCACGCTTTGATTTACAGTGGTTTCCCAGCTGGCTTGTTGCCATAGAAACTGAGCCCCCCAGACCTCCCGCTCCTACAGCGAGCGAGCGCGTTGTCTGCCACTGGTCTAGAGAACAAGAACAAAAAAGACTTCCTGTGTCGTTGCTCCGGCTGCGTCCTCGTCTGCTCCGCTGTCGTTACGACTGTGACGCTTGTCGCCAAAAGACGATTCAGTTATTGATCTGATCGGAGGCAAAATCAACAGTTAACCACTAATTCATTACTGATGGTCATTGTGTGTGTGTGTGTGTGTGTGTGTGTACAGTTGAACGAGGAGCTGAAGCAGAACCTGAGAGAGACCATGATCAAGAAGTACGAACAGAAGAGCTACGAAGACATCACGAGGGCCGTGGACAAACTGCAGCAGGAGGTAAAAAACACACTCGTATATAATATATATAAATACAACTGCCACTTTTACCAGGTCGAAGTTCATTTAAACTTATTTTTAGCACAAACTCTGAAGCTGATGTTTTCTCTCAAAAGAGCGATTACACCTGCAGTTGTTATTCCTCTGCGCCGCCGACAGTCAGAGCCGGACGCCATGTTGTTTTCAGGTTGTCTGTGCGTCCGTCCCATTCTTGTGGACACGATGTCTCTGTAACGCCTTGAAGGAACGTCTTCAAATTTGGCGGAAACATTCACTAGGACTCAAGGATGAACTGAGTAGATTTTTGGGGGGTCAAAGGTCAAAGGTCAGGGTCACGTTAACCTCACAAAACACGGTTTTGGCCTTGTAAATACAATGTCTCTGTAACGCCTTGAGGGAATTTTCTTCAGAATTGGTAAAAACATTCACCTGGACCCAGGGGCCAACGGATTAGAGTTTGGTGGCTAAAGGTCAAAGGTCACAGGTCACAGTGATCTCACAAAACATGATTTTGGCCTCGCGAATGCAGTATTTCTAGAACTCTTCAAGGGAATCCCTTCAAATCTGGACAAACACTCACTTTGACTCGAGGAGGAACTGATTAGACTTTGGTGGTCAAAGGTCAAAGGTCAATGTGTGACAATACTCACGCAGCAATTATAACAAAATTTCACACAAATGGTTCATATTTTCTCTGACTGTGGATAAACAGGGATGTGAACTGGAACTAGTCTGAGTGGCGGAGGGATACGACCACGAGGAGGCGGTTCCAGTTCTTTCTCTGTCGCGTTCAGGCGGTCGTCTGCATCCACACCTTGGCGTCATAAATGAACCTGGGCGTCTTATCAAAAGTCACATGGACTCGCATGTGGCTCGTTCACTGGACAGAGTTTTGTTAACCTATCATCCCATCAGATTAGAGATTGTGGTGATGGGGGCGAGTCAAAACAAATCCGATTCTAATCCCTCTGACTTGAGCTAAGCATGATGGACTTGTCTGCACTCGCTGCTGTAATTTACCCTCTCTCTTGCTTATACCAGTTGACAGCACATGAAGAAATGGATAAATGTGAGCTGCAGTTGAGACTTCAGTTGGTTTATATTTTATGCTCAGTTTTTCAAGCGTGAGAAGCCCCCGGCGATCAGATGTCAACATTTACTCTGTATTCTTCCCTCTAAATCTTTTATTTTTCTACCATCTCCAGTCGTTTGATTGGACTTGGAGCACTTTCACTTTTTTTTTTTTTGGCACATTATGCAGCAATACAATATATTTGTATTTTTTCATTTTGTTCCCTTGATCATTTCCCCTTCAGTTCCTCCCTCTCTGTTTCCCCCCAAAACATCAAACAAATCACCTGCATCGAACAGTCGCACGACACTTTACAGCATCAGCACCTCAGATATGGAGTATACAAAGAGTAATACACTACAGGAGGATGACGAAACTGCAAATCTATAGAGAGAGTTTTCAATTGATCAAAGTGACCCTGGAGCGAGAACTTTATTTTAGAAAACATCAGATTTCCTCCGCCACGTAGAAGAGCTCTGTGAGCGAGGTGATTTCCAGTCAGTCGGGATTCTCCTATGTGCCAAAAGGGTTAGAAAGCAATTACAGTTTTATGTTTATTATTTAAGGTTGGATCTTTGTCGTTCTGAACACCAGAGATGCACATCGAGGCGTCAGGTTGAAGAGTCAGAGCGCACTTTCAACATTTTCCAAAACTGGCTTATTTGCTTTTCCTTGCTGAGGGTTACTGCAGGTGAGAGGGTCGACATCTCGCTCACTCTGCACAGCCAGCAGCTGTTAGCTTATCTTAGCATAAAGACGGAGACAGGCTAATCTGGCTCTGTCCAAAGGAAACAAAGTCCACCCGACAGCACGTCTAACGTGCACTTCTTAATCCGCTGAATCTCGTACAAAAACAAACGTTTAAAAGTGTAAAATGTGTCGTGGTTTTAGTGGCTAAGTGTTGATTGGAATCAGTTGTATATAACTCTCACTAAAAAAGCAAATAAGCCTCTTTCCCAAAATGTCAAACTATTCTCTGTGCGAATTACCCAGAGTTCTGCTTATCTTTGCTTTAGTGAGCTGGAGTATTGATCCTGTTCTGTCGGTGTAAAACAGTTTCTAATGCTTCATGTTTATCTGTGTCTTCTTACTCTGTGATTTCCTGTCAGTTCAAGTGCTGTGGGAGCAACAGTTCAGCCGACTGGGCCGCCAGCATCTGGATTCGCTCCAGAGAATCAGAAAACAGGGTGGTGCCTGACAGCTGCTGCAAGAGTCCCACTGAGTTCTGCGGCCGCAGGGACCACCCGTCCAACATCTACAAGGTGGAGGTGAGAGGATGAAGGGTGCTTTCACTTCTAGGGGCTTGATCAGCAGTTCTGTCATGTCTCAGTGTGTCAGTACAGAGACTTTGTGGTGTGAGAGAAAGAGGAGCCGACGTATCCGAAGCGTATATATATATATAACATTTGTTTACACTGAGGCTCCAGCAACCGTCCCACGTCAGACAGACTTTGTTTTTCATTTAGGGCGGCTGCATCTCTAAACTGGAGAAATTCATCCTGGACCATCTGAAGATCATCGGAGCGGTGGGCGTGGGGATCGCCTGCGTACAGGTGAGCAATAAACAACAATACTTTTTTCTTTTGTTTCCCCATCACCTTGCTTACACATAAACAGAGATTATCAAATAAATGTGTTTCCACGGAGAGAGTGCGGTTTGTCTAAATTACGATTTCCTTCCCCTCCGTCCAGATCATAGGCATGGTGTTTACCTGCTGCCTATACCGAAGTCTAAAGGCAGAGCCGTACTAAGAGGAGCAGAAGAAGAAGAAAAGCGAGTGTGTGAAGGAGGTAACATCATCACCAGACGCCGTACTCAAACAGCCCATAGGTTCTTTTCTTTTGCCGTGCACAGAGGTGGGGGGTGGGGTTGGGGGGTGGGGTGGGGGTTTGGCGAAGGATCAAATTGCACATCAGAGGATCTCGTTTTGGTAAACAAAGGGTGGAAAAACACTACGAGGTTTCTTGAAGTAATTAGGCACTTAAATTGCAGCCTCAGCTCCGTCTCCGTCGCTGAGAGAGAAACTGAAACTCTGTAGTTTTCTTCCACTCTTGATTCCCTCAGCGTCGGTTTCTCTCTGTGCGGTCGGACCAGGTGCGACACCGGAGAGTGGTGCACAGCGTCTCTCTCCCCGCAGCACGGTTTAACAAGCTCACCTCTGGGGCCCTCCTGCGTTTTGTTTCCTCATTAACCAGCCACTCGTGCATTTGAAATCTTTCGTTGGATAGCGGCCTTTCAAACCTTTGAACTGTTAGTTTTTATATTTTGTAAATGATGATTTGAAACTGAGGTGTTTTCTTATGATCGATTATTAAGTCTTCATGTTTTTAATCAAACTTTAAACAACCTGTTAAGAAAGTGCCACTTGAGTAACGCCAGCGTTTTAACCCTGTATGATCCCTCTGTAAAGATGTTAATGAAGTGATTTTGTGACTGTGTTGATGACACATGGAAGCAGAGCCACTAATGTTGCTCATGAGACGACGCCTCATGTTTTCTTTGTTTTTTATACAAACGGATTTCTCCACTGATGCCAAAGTTGCTGACCGTAACGTTTTGTATCTCTCGCAGCCTTATTCCCTCGACCTACTGATGTCTCTCTCTTTTTTTTAGATTGTTTTTCTTGAATGAAGATTTTGTTTACTTTTCAATAGACCATGAATATTTTATTGTATTTAACAGACGTGTGGTAGAAAATGCTCGTAGCTTCTCACTGTTATTAATGATCTTTTTCCTGTGTGCCTCAAAGACGACACTAAAATTAATCATCTGCTGTATTTCTGTCTTTGTGATGATCCGGGAATTATTATTTTACCCTTTTTGAATAAACATCAATCAACAACACACTTCTGCCTCTGCTCTGTTTGCCTCCTCAGCAGACGCCGGGCAGCAGGTAGCAGCGTGAACATTTTTAATTCCGTTAATAATTTTTCTTTTTTGCCGAGCGACGTCGTCCTTCACTTGCAGGCGTCGGGTCGTGTCATCCCAAAAACTGCCAGAATAAACCATTAACGTGTGAAGACAAAACCGTGTGTCTGTAGCCGGTGGCCCTTACACAATTGGCAGCAGCTTACAGGTGCATTAGTGTATTAACCCACAGTCAATTCCCTAATGTTACTGCGCTGTGGTGACGTCGAGTCGGGATGTGAGCCACACTCACGAGTATATTAGCTTTACCTACAGCTGTATATGGCCTGTAATGGGAGTCGTTGTGCTGCGGGGTACAACACCAGCTCGTCTGACCCCCCGTGTTGTCGAGGAGTGACTGTGCATCAGAGTCATAACTGCAAACAGCAGCAGTTACTGTGTGCAAACACAGGGAGGCAGCACCCGCCAGCCTTTCACCAACACTACACCAACACTGATGAAAACAGCTGGTGAGAGTGTGTGCAAAACACCCAGAGGCTATTGAGGATTACCCCCCCCCCCACCTCCCCCCTCCAAACACACTCACACTCTTTCCTAATTCAGAATGGCAGAAAAGCTTTAATTTGGTTTCCCAAAGTGTTCAGGAGGAGAGGGAGAGGGAGAGGGAGAGGGAGGGGTGAATACATGAAACTGGTCACTTTTGGTCATTGCACTTTCACTACTTACATTTTGTTTGTGAAAACACATGATATTGATTCATCCAAAACTGCGCGTCTGGGCGTGCATACGTGACGAGCCGACAGGAAATCAAAACGGCGAGCGGGTCAGCTCACAGCTACAGACCGCTAATTAGTTTCCATTGGGAATGCTAACAACGCAAATGAAGCCATTTCTCAGTGAGCGGACAGCCGGGCGGCGTGAGAACGTTTCCCCCTTCGTGCAGCAGGAGCACATGGTGGAAATGAAACGGCAGAAATCAGCGTGTTTTGTCACAGAGCCCCTTGAACGTTCTCTCGCAGCACACCTCGTGAAAGCTGAGTCATCCCTGGCAAAATGAGCCTTTTTTTTCCCTCCTCATAAGGGTGGTGATGGTGGTGATGGTGGTGGTGGTGGTGGTGGTGGGGGATTCAGCATTTAATGTTTCCATTGGAGTGAAAGTAGTTCAACACATGGCAATTTTAACAGGGCACTTTTCCAAGGAGCAGACATCTGTGGAATGCAAGTCGTCTGCCCTGCTCTTGACACAGCCGCTGCCTTTTGCTTGTTGCCGGAATTTGACTTTAAATAGATGATAGAAATTATGACAAGCCTTTGAACGGCCAGTGTGTCCTGAGCAAATGTGCCCCGCTGATGAAAACTATAATAAATCTCCCTCCTCTTTGCCAGCCCTGCCTGCCCCGCTCGCTCACTGTGACAGCCCGCACACAGGCTAACACGAGGGGTATGTTAATAATGCCAGTGCGTGACATTTCCAAAATATCTCCTCCGATACTCTCCAAGCAGTTGTCCATTCGGTGCACATGTCACCTGCTGCGCCTCGGCCTGCTTGGCCCATACAGCAGAGAGGTACGCTATTTTCAGTCGGAGGGCGGGTGCCCCGCTCGCTCACTGTGACAGCCCGCACACAGGCTAACACGAGGGGTATGTTAATAATGCCAGTGCGTGACATTTCCAAAATATCTCCTCCGATACTCTCCAAGCAGTTGTCCATTCGGTGCACATGTCACCTGCTGCGCCTCGGCCTGCTTGGCCCATACAGCAGAGAGGTACGCTATTTTCAGTCGGAGGG